CAGGGTAGCAGCCCAGGCAGGCTACACTCCTTTTTCCTTCATCCCAGGGACTCTGGTTTTCAGCCACTTCAATAGCCCCAGAGAGAAGGTGAGGTTTTGGAGAAATAGGTAAGGGTTCTCATCAGCAGAGGGCACAGATGCCTGGATTCGATGGCCCTTGTCTTTCCCTCCTCACAGATCCGTGGCTCCTCCTCCAGCTAAAACCCCTGGCTTATCCATTTCCTAAAGACCATCACAGAGGCTCAACAACCTTCCCTTTTTAGCACTCTTGCTGATGGAAAATTCTTCCTCATACCTAATCTAAGTCCATCTGCTGCAATTTCTGTCTATTTTCTCTAGTTCAATCCTTGCTGGAGATGGAGAACAGCTGGTCGCCATCCTCCATATAACATCCCCTCCTAAACCAAAATCAGTTATTACATCAGCCCTCATCCTGTGTTTCTTCTGGTACAACAACCACTGTTCCCTCCGAGCTGCCCTCATGGATTCCAGCTCTGAAAGCACCGCTGATCACCATGGCCCACACGGGAGGATGCTCTGCAAGCTCCAAGAGCTTCCAGAGCTGTAGCATCTGCAGTGGGATGTAGGGCTCTGTGGCAAAATCGAGAGAGAAAGTTGGAGCGGAAAGGAGCCTGTGAGGACGTGGTCCTGACCTCTGGCTCTATGTCTAAGGGGATTGAAAGTCAGAAAGGGCACATAAGCACGTGCCCAAGTTCAAATCTGAGGGTTCTAGCTCAAGTGCCAGAGTCCAGATAGTAACATCACAAAGTCCTGAGACACTGCAGCATGTTGTCAGCATGGGTCAGAGCAGGACCAGCCAGAGCTAAAAAGTGAAGACCACCATTCCTCACTCTGCTCCCCATCCAAACTCTGTCTACCCAATCCCACTAGCAGGTGCCTGGAATTCGACTGCACACATCTTTTGTTTTCTTTCCAGCTTTTTAATTTTAGGTCCAGGGGTACATGTGCAGGTTTGTTATAATGGATAAATTACATGTCGCGGGGGTTTGGTGTACAGGTAGATTATTTCGTCACCCAGGTAATAAGCATGGTACCTGATAGGCAGGTTTTTTATTCTCACCCTTGTCCCGCCCTCCACCCTCAAGTAGGCCCCTATTTTTCCCCTCTTCATGTCCAAGTGCTTAGCTCCCACTTATAAATGAGAACATGCACACATCTTTGATTTCCTTTAAGAACTTAAATACCTCTGTAAGTGGCAACACTATTAACTGTTCACACCTTAGTATGAATGAGTAGATTTGATCCTTTCCAACTATTAATAGATTTAGGGGTGAAAACAAAGAACAAAGAAACTGAGAGCACAGCAGACAAATTTCCCTGCATGCTAATGTTTCCAAGGTCAGCTCTGTGCATGGGGCTGCAGCAGGCACAGGCCTCTGCACAGTGGCGCAGTGAGGGCTTGCGCCTGGTGGGACTCCCTGGGTGTCAGACAGGACTGTGCTTCAAAGCATCTGCCCTGTCCGCCTCACACAGGTCAGCTGCACCACTCCAGGTGCTCTGGCGAGGTCTGCATACAACTGAACTTGGGGAAAGGATTACCTCATTGCTCCCCCAGGACAGGCTCCCATCACATCCCACGGTTCCTATTGTCCCCTAGTTAACTCTTTCAGGAGTGAGGTGCACAAGGCATCTACAATTAGATCTCCACCCTGGGGACGCCTGAAATGACAGGAAGGAAGAAACAAAAAGTAACCAGGAAAGAGAGGTACACCTGCGTATCAGATTAAGATTACCTAGATACCTGCTTCAGTGTGAAATATCTCCCAAGGGGGGAAGGGAGGAAGGGAGGAAGAGGCACGAGCATGAGAAAGAGAGTGAGACAGATGAACAATTTACTCATAATTCGGGCTATGAAAATTTCCTAAATGAAAGATGAAGAGGGAAAATAACAGAGTGTGGTTAATACATTTCAAGGTCTAGGTTTCAAAACAGCCTTCACCCCACCTTTAATAGATGGAAATAGTGTGCTCCAACCTCTTCAACTTTCTGAGATGTTCCTGAGTGTTTCAAATCTCCAGAAATACCTCCCCCTAGGACAGTCAGGGAATTCACACATCCACAGAAAAAAACAAGACATTGCAAAAGCGTTTACCAAAACAAACACAATAGACGTGCTTATTAGATTTCCCCAAAGCCACAAAATTAAATGTTAAAGTAGAAGGCAAAAAGGCTCTTCTCTGATAAAAATTTTAATATGTTTTCAGTCTTATTTCAGGGGACAATTGTCTTTAACAGAAAAATCAGCACAAAATGACAAGATCAAAGTAGGTTGGCAAAAAGATTACTTACGGATATGTTTAGGATGAAAAGGGATAACAGAAGGATGACAGGGATGGAGGGACAGAAGAATAAAGAGAGGACTTTTATTTGCCAGGTAACTCACGCAGGGCTTGGAAAAGCAGAAAGACACAACCCCTTCCCACCATAGTTGGTTAAAAGAGAGAGAGAGATCCAATTTGGCCAATTGGGAAGAGGAGAAAACGCTGGGTCTGTGGATGGTGCTTATCCAGGGTCCTGGCCAAAGCCATCATGTTTGATGAAATGACAAGTAACACATTTAATCTCCTGAGCATCCATCGGTCTTTGCATACACAAACAGGCACGCAGCTTCACAAGGAGTTAATTAGCCTAACACCAGCAATTCGATTCTCCAAACTGGATCGCAGCAGAGGCGCTGGGTCCTGGGTTTCACACCTCACCCCATCCAAGGTGAAGCTGTGATGAGGGTGTTTTGCACTTCGTCAATTATTTTTCAGTTCCTAGGATCCTTTTTTTGGTCTAAAGTTGTTATTTTAATGATCTCTGTTCCGAATGGGGAAATACAAGAAAGAGGAATGAGGAGGAGGCAGAGGGAAGGAAAGCAAGCGCTCCAGTGTGTCCCACTTGTACTTTCCAAGGCCCCCTCCACCCCCTCCCCCAACACTGCCTCTTCTCTCTATGCATGAGTCACCCTTCAGGAGCTGTTTCAAATGCCTTACTTCTAATGTTTCCTATCACGATAGAAATCCAACAGACTGGCATCAATTAAAGGGAACCCCCAGTTTTGCTATCCTCAAACTCAAAAGCATTTTCTGGTTTCCTTACCACCTTCATGAAAGCCAAGGTGCTCTCATGCAAGACCCCCATGTGCTGGCGGCTGCCCCTCCTGGGCTCCCTGGGGGTCATGTGCCCCGGAGAGGCCACAGAGGACGACGTCCATGGCTAACCATGCCCACCGGCTGGGAAAAGTTCAGCTTCCACTCCAGGTCCCCCAAACACAAAGGGATTATAATTGGCAGGGCTGCAAATTTGTTTTGTTTACTGTCAGATAGGATGTACAGAAGAGAACGCTGATGGTATTTTGACCCCCATTCCCCCCAAAAAATAGGCAGGCAATTTTTTTTGCCATTGTAAATAGAGCTTCAATAATCACAGTTCCCACCAAAATAGCTGCCTACAGGAGGTGGAGGAGAATCTGTTGTGGTGGTTAAAGAAAATAAGAATTAAAAAGTGAAAGGGATTTGTGGAGCTGGAGAATCAAGACTATCATCTGCATCTCCGCGGAAGGGTGCCCTGAGGAAGAGGTGTCACTGGAGAATCCCTCCCCAAACATGCATTTCTTGTCGGGACTGGGAATCGAAATCCCCAGCTGCAGGTTTAACGGGAATCGGAGAGAAGAAAATCATCTGAACTCTCCAAGACCCCTGGGACTTGGAAGATCTCCCCCAGACTATCAGCTTCAGAGTATCCCGCAGGTAGGCAGCGTACCTGGTGAAGTGCGGTGGGCACACAAGCAGAAGCTGCCTTCGCAGAAGAGGAAGGAAGTTCAAGACCAAGCACATTGCCTGCTTCCCCATGGGTCACTGTTTCCTAGTGGCTCACCTCCCTAACATCTCCCTTTGGCAGAAGGGAGGCAGAGGGAGAAAGGAGTTTCCCAAGGGTCTCAGAGCAAGAGAGTCCCTTGAGGTCTCATGATTTAGAACGCTCAAGGGTGCTTCTGGGCTGAACCAGCTGCCTGCCAGGGTGAGCTGTTTTACTTGAAGAGCAGTTAGCAGAAGCAGTGTGGATGGTGACTTCAGCATCACCTCTGCCACAAATGCACCTGTGCACCAAAACTACCTGCGCACCTGCAGGGAGCCAGCCCCTCCACCAGCCTCCACCGCCCAGAGCTGCGGGGATGCTCCGGGCCAGGCACCCGTTCTGGGGACAAGGGAGTAAGCTTCAAACAGTACCAAACCGAACTCTCTAACCCGTTTTTTTGTTTGTTCGTTCTTTTTTTTTTTTTTTTTTTTTTTTTAGGACACCCCAAGCCTCGAAAGTCTTCCAGAGTTTTCAGGAGCTAATTGATTATGTGATTTCTTTTCCTCTGAGAATTGTTTTGATGGTGTGTCACCAAGTGGTCACGCAGGTGCCCACCAGGTCAAACAGAATAGCCCACCCCCCCCCCGCCCCCCACCCTGGGGAATGTCTCCTTCCTCCAAATAAAATGAACTGAGACAGGGCAGGAGGCAGGAAGGAAGCAGAAGTTTGAGGAAGGACTCCAGCTGAAGGTCACAATAGTTTGGGGAAGGCAGATCAAGGTAATACGAAGCGGAGAGACCCTATAGTGGAAAACACAAAGAACCAATCACGTTTCTCGGAACCAGCCTACCCATGATAGGTGCACCAGGAAGCAGCACATCCTGGGATCCAACTTCTTTCACCCAGCACACCCGAATCTCCACCCCAGCCCTGCAGACACCCTAGCCCGATACCAGACCTAATTAGACAGACCTGAGCGCAGCTAATTAGAAGTAGTAAACAAGCCCATTTCTTGCCAGCGCAGAAGTTTCCCAAATTGTCCGCTTGTTTTCCTCCCAACAAAAGACAGTGATTTCCCACCTTTGTCACATTTCCTACCAGAAACTTTTCTTTCTGCAATCCCTCCACCTAGGCTAAACTGCAAAGCCACTGGCAATGGAGACGCAGGCGCTGCACCCCCGGGACACAGGCAGAGGTACCTTTTCCGCGAAGCAGAGGGGCCGGTGCCCAGAGGCCAGCTGCCCTGCCGAGCAGTGGAGCGAAGCTGTGGGCTGGAGCACGCTGAGGATTACGCGTTCCTGTCTCTGCGACCAGACCTTTCGGCAGCTCGGACCAACTGTGCTAGCGATGCACTTAGCAATTATCTGCTGGCGCCGACGCCCCGCCCTCTGCTCTTGCGATTGGCTCTCCAGTCCCGGGCAGGACTGCATTGGTTTCAGCCGACCTCACTCATTGCTTTGGCTCCTACTATTATCTAAGCCATCAAAGGAAATAATTCCATGTTTCATTGACAACCTGTAAGGCTCTCCTCCAGCCCAATGTGGGGGCAGGACCCGGGAGGCCAGTGGAGAGAGGGGAGGCGAGTGGGAAAAGGTGGGGGAGCGGGGTGGGGGAAGGAGGTGGAGGGGAGAGGAAAAGAACAAGAAGGTGTGGGGGGTAGGAGGGTAGGAGGGAGAGAGAGAGAGAGAGAGATGGAGCTATCAAGCAATCAGATTCTTGCTCTAGCATTTTAACTTCCACAAAACAGAGCCCATAGCAACAATTTTCTGGCTTTCTTTTTCCCCCTAACTGGTAAATGTTGCTGAGGGCAGACAGAAAAATAACTATGGGGTGTCTGCCGGCATGAGACAGACTCTAGAAAGCCGAGCAAGGTTGAGAGCTGAAGGAATGGAGTAATGCTTTTCACAGGGCCACCCTGGAGGGCATGTGAAGGTCATGGCAGATTGTTTGGAGAGCATGGTAGGTGCATACCTGGAGTTTATCTATCAGTACTTTATCTCACAGTCTCCCTCATCTCCCAACCTGCGGAGACAATTTTCCTTTGCACCCTATCCAAAGAGTCTCAGAAGAGCTTTTCTTAAAGTCCCTAAAACTCTGGAGTTTCTCACTGTTCTCACTGAGAGGTCCAGAGAGCCAAGCATTCTAGAGCTAAGGATTCTGCTGGGCCCCTCACTCTGGTTTATTCTGACACAGCTTAAATTAATCGCTTAGACTTTCATCGACAGCCTAAGCACAGGAAGAGAGAACATACCCATCAAAGGGTGGGAACAGCTTAAACACCTTTCCTTGTTCACCAAGAAATCATAAAGTCTCACCCCAGTTAAAATGGCTTTTATCCAAAAGACAGGCAATAACAAATGCTGGCAAGGATGTGAAGAAAAAGGAATGAACCCTCCTACATTGTTGGTGAGAATGTGAATTAATGCCACCACTATGGAGAACAGTATGGGGGTTTCTCAGAAAACTAAATATAGAGCTACCATATGATCCAGCAATCTCATTGCTAGGTATATACCCCCCAAAAAGAAATCGGTATCTTGAAGAGATACCTGCACTCCCATGTTTATTGCAGCACTATTCACAACAGCCAACATCTGGAAGCAATGCAAGTGTCCATCAACAGACAAATTAGATGAAGAAAAGGTGATACATATGCACAATGGAGTACTATTCATCCATAAAAAAGAATGAGAATCTGCCATTTACAACAACGTGGATGGAACTGGAGGACATTCTGTTAAATGAAGTAAAACAGGCATGGAAAGACAAACTTCACATGTTTGCATTCATTTGTGAGAGCTAAAAATTAAAACAATTGAACTCATGGACATAGAGAATAGAATGATGGTTACCAGAGGCCAGGAAAGGGCAGTGGGGAGGGGAGGAATGGTTACTAGGTACAAAAATAGAGTTAGATAGAATGAATAGTATCTAGTATTTGATAGCACAACAGGTTTATCACAGTCAGCAAAACATATTATACATTTTTAAATAACTGAGAGTACAATTGGATTGTTTGTAACAAAAGGAAATGCTAAATGCTTGAGGTGCCAGATACCCCATTTACCCTAATGTGATTATTACACATTGCATGCCTGTATCAAAATATCTCATGTACCCCATAAACATATACACCCACTATGTACCCATGAAAATTAAAAATTAAAAACATTTTAAAAAGAAATCATAAAGCACAAATTTTGACCTTCCTCTCTCCTTAATGTATTTGTCACCATATGGAAAAGACATCACTTGGCAACTAAATTTTCTTAACTAGGTAAAATATTTATTATTAATGTTTCTAAAATAAAAGAGTTTTTATAAATCAATAAGTAGAAGACCTATAACCCAATTCAAAAATAGCAAAGGACAAAATTGGCTGAATCTTTTAAGACAGAATTATAAAAAAGGTCTTTTAAAGAAAGCTTTTAGAATATCAAATTTCAAGTGATCCAGAAACTAATCCTTCAGCCTTCTCATCCTAGGATCTCCATATCTTTGGTGAGGCTATGGTTCCAGTCCTGCCCTGGCCTCCCCTGGGTCCTTGAACAACTGTAGTCCTTATCTTCAGCTGCATCCTCTGCAGCAAATGGCAGGCGCCCCAATGCCTTGTATGGTGACTTTCTATTTCATGCGTACATGCCTGGCTTCCCTAAATACATTTCAAGCCCTGTAAAGACAGAGATGGTATCATACACATCTTTATCACTCCACAGATAGCACCTAGCACTCAATAAGTGGTCTGACTACTAAAACCCAATCCAAAGCATCCAGGGTGCACAGCCCTGAGCCTCATGCGATCCTCATTCCACTTGATTACTCTTCCAGCTGAGCAGAGTGTGGACAGGGCCCACTCTGGAGTCCAGGAGCTAAAAATTCAGGACTAACCACTGTGAAATAAGGCAGCTCCAGAGTCACTTGGGGCTCTCACTACATGTTCTCTCTGGAACGTGAGGCAGGTCTTCACCCAGCGTCTTCCTTCTCCCTCAGGCATTTGAAGGATATGAAAGGATGCGGGATGGGCGTTGTACTTGTGAGGCATAACCTCAAAAAATGAAGTCCTTTCCATAATGGCTTTCCAAATGTCAGCATGAGTAGGGGAGAGTGGCCATATATTAGGAATTCAAAACTAGGGCAAGGGATGTAACAAAATATTTGTTTTCTATTTCATTCCTTTGTCTAGGTGAAATTCACGCAAAGGCACAATAATGAAACTAAACTTAGCTATACATTTGAAATTGACACTGTCCTAGAAAAACTGGTGTGTTCAGTCATGGTGTAAAAACCATAAATAACACTTTTATTATTTAAGCAGTACGAATTTTGCTTTCGAGTGAAAGTAGGCTTCAGCTTTGTGCCTTCATAGTATCTCTTTTTCCTCCCCTACTAAGAAAATAAGAGAAATAAACTAAATTATAAGAACTCTCTTGAGTACCTATCAAAGGTTTAGTTGTCCCTGAAGGAAAAGGAAAACATTTCAAGTGATTTTATAAAATGCTTTGTCTAAAACAGCATGTCCTTACATGTACTTTTTGCCTTTTGAAGATGAGAGAGAGAGAAAGAAAGAGAGCAAGCCGCAAACAGTTGTTTATGTCAGTGTCTTTTAAACTGCCTGGTCATAAAATATTCTCTTTGAGAGAAGGATGCTTCCTTTGTGTCCCATAGATCAACCGCTTAATTCTGAGAGTTAGAGAATGAATATTAAGTATGAAGATTCCACTGGTACTTGCATTTGTATTAAATATCAGCGCCATACAATTTAAATTCATTGGGGTATGAAATGTACCAAATTCCATTTTGTGGGCCGTACCCAGCAAAGCAGTCCATTTTGATTTAACAGTTTCAGGACATTAATGGTCGGAAAGGCTTTTGGGGGTTCCTGTTCCATTTTGAGTAATTAGGGAAAGAATGTGGGTTTCTTTATTAAAACACAAATTACATAGCAGCAGCCAGAACCACCATCTTCCTTATGGGTAACCACTTGCTACAACAAATTACCATGACCTACAGTAGGAGGATGGAGAAATCTTGCATTTACTTGTCCGTTTATGCCATTTTCTCAGTTATCATTTATTTATGCCAAATTCTGTTTCTAAAAGGGAGAAGAGGAGAATAAATTTAGGCAATGCCAAGAAAGAGGGAAATGTGTGAAAACAAGAGGAAAAAAAAAAGAGGGTGACTTTCAACACTACATCTTTGCGTATTAACTTCAGCCATACAATACTATTTCAGTGAAAACATAGTATTAGCAGGATTTCTTGAACCCAGCATTGAAAGAACGAAAGGTTGTTCAGAAAACTTCTCCCAGCACAACCTGCTAAGTAGAGAAACCTGGAGAAACATTTTCACAGCTTTCTGTTCTAGCTGATAGCTGTTGTGAAATCAAACTCCCTTCCTCTCCACCCCCACCCCCACTCCCACCATGAAAATCAAACCTGTGGAGCCAGTGACATTTCAACAAAGCATAAGAGGAGATTGTGGCTGCCAGGAGGGTGTCAGTCACCATGAACCATTCTCAATGATTTCATTAATTACTAATGAGTCTTTAGAAAGTTGGTATTAGAATATACAGACTTCATGAGGTTTGAAAACAGTAAGGATATTTTATTAGTTAACATACCCTGAAGAATTAAAGCAGATGATTTTGTTTCTTTAAATCACAATCATATTTATTAGTGAGCCAGAGTTGTAAACAATCTGAAAAAGAGAAACAGGAAGACAGAGACAGACAGATGGAGAGAGAGAGAGAGATTTACAAAGCTAGATTGCCCACCTAAATTCTGTTTTCCTTCAGTTAAATTATTCATAAGAAATATGGAGCTGAAAACTGTCATGAAATATTGTCCAGTGATGCAACAATTGACAGGAGTAGGGAAGCTGAATTAAGAAGGTCAGCTTGCCTTCTGTGAGGCTGGCAGACCACGTGTAGTGTGAAGCACCCTTCTAGAATAAAGGTCTGCACACATGGAGACAGCTGTTGGACCCCTGCCAGCCAGGACCCACATTCTAGTATAACTGCTTTCTTGAAAGAACCCATCAGGCATGTGTTTACAACACCTGCCACACACCGTTTCCTCATTTATAAAGCAGAGTAGTCATTGTTTATAAGGCTGTTGAGAGAATGATGGCAAATAAACCTACAAAGGAAGAGGCAGATGTCCTCACCCTTGATGTTAAGCCTAGTGACAATAGCAGCAATGTCTTGGCATGGGTCAATATTCATGTGATGCATAGCCACTTGGCTGTCCTAGACCAGATGCCACATGTGCTCTTGGGGTAGGACCTGAAGATGCTCAGAGGGGCAGGAAAGCTGCTCTGGGCATAGGGGGACAGCTGCAGG